TCAGATTGACAGCTGCATGTTTTCGTTTCAACACTTGGAAGCTTTCGGTGCAGATATGCTGCTATCTTTGTGGGAGAGATTTGATCTGTGGTCATTGAGACGTTATTCATTTTTGGCTGGTACCAGTAAAAGTAATTGTGATGTCAGTTCTGTACCTGAGTTACTTATGATAGATATACTTCTGGATTAGGCAATCTGCACTCTGAAATAATGAGAAATGTCAGGTTCTGGTTAAAAAACGAGGAGTAAAATATCTCTGCAGGTTATAATCACTTTGAAGGATTGTGGTTCCTCTCCATTATTCCCTCCACTATTGTTGAATTGTCCAATTTAAGTGAGTAACAGCACATTCTTTCTAGAAACTGTTGGTGGGAGCCAAGGAAATAAAATGTAAGAGGGATGTATTATAGGAAGAATAGCCATATATAATAGCCACTGGAAAAGTTGGAAGACAATAATAGGCAATCAAGTTCACCCACTTGATATTTTGTTTTTCAAAAATCTGAGCAATACGCACTGACCAACCTAGACTTACTAGAAAACAATTATTTTTTTGCACAGTTCCTCCTAATACTGTTAGCGCAGCAGTATCACAGGCTAGATGCATTCTGCCTCCATTAAAACTCATAAAGCTGCCAATCTTTTGTCACCATGTATGATTAACTGTAAAAAGAATTAGGTGCCCCTGCGCTTTTACCTTTGTAAAAAGAATAGTTGTGTTTTAATTTTCAAAAGTGAGAGTTTTCCATATATGCTGAAGATTTCTCTGATTTCTATCCTTTTTAAAAAAGAATACATTAGATCTTGTCTGACTGGATAAAGGGCAGAGATCATTCAGAATTTTGGAAGTCTTTCTTGACCTATCTATAGTCTTTGACTGGGTCCCAGAGGATCGGTTTGCTGCAGCAAAGCTGTGTGTGCAGTTTGTTACTGAAGCAGCTTAGTATTGCTTGAGGTGGATACTTGCCTTTGACAGGCATTTCGTTAGAGATAGAATTTTCAGTTAGCAACATTCAGGTGTTGGTGATCTTAAAAATAGAACTTGTGTGTATGGCAGCCTGCCCAGAGAACATCATTTTGAAAAGAGCATCACTCTTTGGTTTGCTTGTTCCTTTCAGATGCCTTGTTATTTGGCACAAGTCTATTCCACCATGCCAAGCATCCCTTTTGTGGAGAAAAACAGAGTGGGATTCTGCAAGAATTCCCTTTTGGGAAGCAAAAAGAAAAGCAAAGTTTGTACTGCCATGACGGTTTGCGGGGGCTCTTCAGTAAACACTCAGCGATGTCTCGGAGCATCCTTCCCTTGTCCCATTTTGTCAGTTCCATTTGGGATGAGTTACTCACATGACCCTCATGGGATGAGCTGACATGTGTATAATACAATGGAAAGCACAACAATGACAGTAGAGCAGCAAGATCCTAGGCTGCAACAAGTAAGGATTTGCTCAGTGCAACAGTCATAGGCATGGAAATAGAGAAAAGAAGTTGCTTATCTTCAGAAGGCCTCAGGTCCAGAGGAATCTCTGGACAGATAGTCTTTGCCTTAACCTTTAAATGAGGTCTGGGAAGGGCTTTGCTGCATGCACGGAGCTCCCCTGTGTTGGCCCTGCCTTCCCACCAGGAGCTCAATCACTGGTTCAGGCCATGACTTAGCATTTCTGCTACAACAGAGAATACAAACCTTTATGGTCTACAATGGGTTTAGGTTGGTTCTGATTACATATTTAGATTAAACATAATAAGGAGCTTTTAAAAGTAAACTGTTTTTTAATTATAGCTATCCCTTTTGCTTTGGAACTTGTTAAAATACTATAAGCAATTAAATCATTATGCAAAGTCACCAGATTTCATTATTTGCATCCCAGCTGCCATTGTGGCCCATGAATGCAGTGCATTTCTAAACAAGGAACAACCTTCTTTTTTCTCTTTTGCATTTGAGAAGTGTAGGACAGGCCAAACTGTCATGCTTAATTCATCTCTAATGAAAATATATTTATTGTTTTTCATTTTTTAAGTGAATTTAGGACTTGGTCCATACAGAAGAAAAGAAATCAAAACTCTTCTCTGGGCTAAGATCTTGTGCTGTGTGCCAGGTTTTATTATGATGTGAATTTTTATGGCCACATTTCAAAGCCTTGTGGAACAGAGATTATAATAAAAATGTTCCTGGGGTCTGCATCCGTAGCAGTGCTGAGTGTCGCTGTTGCATGGAATTTAATTTTCTCTCATCAAACTGCACATTGCCACAGTATGTTCTGTCTGTCTATTTGATTTACATAAACAAATTTCAGAGTAGCTGGGGTATGCTGGCATGATGAGACGAACACAAAATGTCACCCACCGCCTTAAATGTTCCGCATTGTATTTTAGTTGTTATTCTTTACAGTAGTGCTGCTGCTGCTCTGTTAAATAGGTTTTCATTCATTCTCAGTCCTTCTTGCTCGGCTTCGCTTAATGATCTATGTCAGCAACTAGATGCCAGTTTAGAACAAAACAAAATAAAATTGATTTTCACAGTTCCATTAAATTTATTTTACAACATAAAAGCTATTAGTCCGATTCCTAGCTGAAGCCTGAACATCTACTAGGGCAGAGCCTCCCAACCTGAAACCTCCTCAGCCAAGCTAGAGCAGGCGCACAGGTTAGCCACTTTGCTCACTTCTACCCCTGCCAGAAAGCAGAAAGAGCCCAGGATGTTCTCCCTTGCAGCTGATTCCAGCTGGCAATGGCACAGGCACTAGTGTGTGCATGGGAAGCATGATGACGTGCTGGCTGCACCATGTTCCAGCTGCTGGAGGGACGTCAAGAGTGCCTCTCTCTTGGGGTACTCTTTCCCCTGCCCTTCTCTGACTGAGGTAGATCTGTGAATTGAAGGAAATTCTGCCTTTAACTTGGGAACTGGAGCTGAAGTTGGAAAAGGCTTGTTAGAGCATTCAGTTTATTTCCCTGAGAACAGATCTGTCCTCTGCATTTCCCATTTCTTCAGCTGTCTTGATTTCTTTCTAAAGGTTGCGAATCAAGCATTTTATCTGGTTGTTAAAAAGCAGAATCTTGCTTTCTTCCTCATGCATTTCTTGCAGCAGAAAATGTTATATGATTGGTTTACTCAATTTTCAGTGTATTGTACTCCATGACATCTTGTAGACAGCCCCTATCTAACTGATATTAGATAAGCACCATCTATTTGTATGGTGCCCATCACTGTGGTATCTGAACACCAGTGAGGCAGCTTTCTTCTCCTTTCCTGTATGCTCATCAGGTTGGCAAGACTTATGATTGTCAGCTACATTCCTAATATTTATGCTTGTGTATGTTCATGTTTAAATGAGCTGCAGCACTTTACCAAGCTTGCTGCTTTTAGCCTGTGTCAGCATTTTGCAGCATCAGATAATACAGACTTTCTATCATTTCCCACAGCCTCAGGTTTTTCAAAAAAGCAAAAAAGGAACAACTAAGCAACTGGGAGCTGTGGCTGCAGGAAAATATATATATATCCTTTTTTTTTTTTCATCTGCACAACCTGTATGAAGGCTGGAGAATCAGAGATCACCAGGAGTACCGGAGCTCTTTGCCCTCTGCTTGCCTTCAGTGGAAGGAGTTGGACTCAAGGATGAGTGGTGCGGATGCAGCTTCAGTAATGGCACTGTTGTTTCCACTGGTAGTTTTTAGGAACACCTGTCATTGTTAATGCTCTGCTTACTGCAGGTTAAAGGGATTACCTTCCTTCAGCTTTCATCTCCCCTGGTGTTGGAAAACATCCCCAAGTAGAACAGAAGACTCTTCAAAACCTACCAAGGTTTGTTGGCATAATATTTAGTGTCAGTATGCATTCTCCTTTGGCTTAAAAAATGCATCACAAATTGAAATGTCAACTCTGCTTCCCTGCAAAATATCTGTTTTCTTTGAGAAGTTAATTACTGATTTCAGCACAGCTGAAATGAGGCCTAATGACGGCCTTCTCTTAATTGTTGACAAGTGATGGCTTGATTGGAACTAACTTTACACAGCTTCAAATGTGAAATTTAATTGTGGTACATTTCCATTTGCTTGGATCCTACAAAGAGCCTAGCTTATTATCTGGACCTTTAACAAAGTGGGAATTGCAATACATGAAGAGGCATTTTGAATGCTCTCAGCAGATGATGTTGAATTCTGCAGCAGCAAGCTGTGCACTATAGCTATCCCCCCTACCTCCAGGTAACAGCAAGGAAAATGGACCTGACACATGGCAGGCCTAAGGAAGGCAGCAGGTGACAACGACACTGATGGATACCTGAGGATGTATATATTAGCTGAGATAGGTTTGAAAGACAGTTTCTTCTTCTGTCGTTTTTAAGAAAGGGAAATGGGTGAATCATTAAGAGGTCAATTTCCTTGCCCCAGTGCCTCAATGATGGAAGCATGAATGGCTGCCTGAATTCAGAAACGTTTCATTTCACTTCCCATGCTCACCAGGCCAGTTTCGCCTGAGGAGGGACTTATTCTGCCTAATTCAGTGCATCGCAATGGCGTCCTGGCCTCACTTCCTTATTTTACCCATTTTTTATTTGGTGTGTGACCTTAATCCTCGATTAAATTAGACATCCTTTGTTCTACCAAAGCTTTTCTGAGCCCAACAGGATTAGGCCTTTAGTGAGCTATAACAGAAGCAAAGCCTGTAACTCAGAATAAGTGATTTCCTTCCTTTCTATGTTTTCCTGCCAGAAACAATGAAAGTAGCCACAAGAGACAAGAATAATGCAGTCTTATTTACAGAGTGCTGAATGTAGAGTCTGTGTTATTTACACTCTATCAAATTAAACTGAACTGAATGTTTGCTTGACATCTACCTTTGTGTACCAGGTCTTATTCTAATGGTAGAAAACAAAATAAAACAAAATCTGGGAATTAGCGAAAAGACAGTGACTTACAGACAAGTTGGACCTAGGTGGTAGTGTTTGTCCTGATCTGGCTTTTATTTTCTAACAGATTGGATCTGATGTTTTATTGCAGGCTTTGGTTTGTTTTGCACTGAGAATATGTTTTTATGAGATATGAAATTGGCCACTGACTCTAATTATTTTCTAAAGTCTGATATAGATGTTTAAAAATCCCCTTGGTATCAAGCCTGTGCAGGGACTCTGCTCCAACTGCAGAGACTAGAAAACTGCTAATAAATGCAGTGCTTTCTGCTACTTAGAACACCTAGCTCTTCAACCTTTGGCTTTCCACCATCCCACAGCTGTAGGACCCCTTGAATTCAGCAGTGTTCTCTACCATTTACCTATATGCTACTGTTGGACATCAAGAAGTCATTTCTTTGTGAAGTTTCCAAGCGGGTTGCGTTCTTTTCTTCTGCCAGCAGTACCTCTTCGTGTACCACTTCACCCAGAGATTTTGTTTACCTATAAAGTCAATGTGATGAAGTACTTCGTGCCAAGCCATGATGAGTCCTTTGTTTTTTGGACAGCCCTGGCCTACCACCCCCACAGCCTTTCTTGAAGCAGATTTCTGACAGCTGCTGCTGAAATTGATCTCCTGGGCTAGAGGATGAGCATCCAGAGCCCAAAGGAAAGATCAGGGAAGCAGAAAGCTTTCCATACCTCATCACTTTGTAGGGGTCAATTGAAGGCTGGAAGTGAGACAAAAAGGAACTGGGAAGAAAGCAGAAGAAGAGAAAGAGAGAAGGCAGATAAACTTTTGTGCAGCCTCTTCTGACCCAGAGATTAACTTGAGGTATTTGATCATGAGACCCTATTTAAGCTAAAAAATTATTACTAAATCTTTTCTGAAGCCACCAGGCAAGCATATATTTAATGTAATACAGAATTCCAATTCTTAAGTTAGTTTTATTATTTCATTAATTTTCCCTTTCGTTTCAAAGGCTTGCTGTCTTTCTGTTTACATAATGCTTAAAATTTTGACAAACCCTTGTGGATTTGCTCCATAAAGACACACTCTTCTCCCCATCAGGGAACACAGCTGTTTGGCTGCAACCTAGGAAGACTTCACTGTGGATAAATCTGCAAACTTCCCCCCACTGACTCATGAAAGATTCCACAGAAGCATGTCATCCATAATAATCAGGGATGGAGCCCGTCTCAGCTTTGCATCTTTCTTACAGTCTGCAGAAGTTTGCTGATCCCTCCGTGTGCCTGTGTGCCTGAATGAGCATGCAACATCTGCCCTGCAGTCCTGTTATCTGAGGGCCAGTTGTATATACCAGAGGCTCAGCCCACCATTCCGAACACTCAGTTATCATGACAGGTCCCTTCTGTACTTGCATGTTTCCAGCTGGGAGATCACCACACATTGCGTCCTGCTTATCTATTGTAGTAGAAATGCTAAGTCACAGCCTGAACCAGTGACTGAGCACCTGGTGAGAAGGCAGGGCCAACCCAAGGAAGTTCAGCTGCATGCAGTGTACCTGAGTGACCAGATGAAGCCAAGATCCACCCTTTCCTAGACCTCATTTAAGGGTTGGCAAGGGGAGACAAGGGTTTCTTGCTGGAGATTTCTGCGTGCTGGAGGCCTTTCAAATGTAAGCAAGCTTTTTTCTTATATTTTTGTGTCTATGGTTGCTGCAATTGGGCTTGTCCTCCTTTGCTACAGTCGAAGACTTTGCCACTCTGCTATTATTGCTATATTTTTCATCATGTTATAGCATTACGCCTGCTATTTAGTTGCTGTTTTTCTACTTTTCCACAATTGGTAGGTACACTCTTAGAGATGCTTCTGTAATTTTGGAGGTGCTAAAGGGAGAAGGAAGTAAGGGCTGAACTGCAGACAGATTTTGCAGATCACTGCTTCCTCCCGGTTTCATTACTGTGTGTTTCTACTCCACCACCTCCCTGCTTAGTTTTATGTTTCATTCTCTGGTCCAAGGGTCTGTTTTGTTTTTTGTATTTTGTTTTTCACTTTCACCCGAGGAAGGTGAGATAACAAGCTCTGAGCTGCAGTTGAGGGGTGTGCTGGGCTTCAGACTGTAACAGGTAGCCCACTGCAGCTCTGTATGTGAGCTAAGGGAGAGATACATGCAAGATGAAGTCCTGCTACATCTATTTGAAGAGGAGAGATTTGTCTGTACATGCTTTTACTGAAAGACTGTATTATGTAGAACACACAAAATAACTACTCCTATCCATTTTTAGAGCCATTGTTAAATAGGGAATTAACATTGAGAAGAAAGACAGTAGGGGATTTCTCTTTCTCCCCTCCTCTTCCTCCCTTCCATAGTACAGTGTCTTTATTTTCTTTTCATTATTTCTCTTTGTCTTACTGGTGTACTGCTTTCATTTATATTGAAATCAGCTGGCAGAAGATAAAATTCTTTTTATCTTATATTTAGAGCATATATTTAGAGTGTTTTTGAGACTAGTAATTATTATTTTTCTCCATCTTTCCTGGGAAGTTGCTGGTGATTTGTTTTCAGGTTCATTTCGTGAGTGTTTTCTGTCATTTTCTATGAACTCTGGTCTTTTCCTTTCTCTGCCTGTCCCTCAAAATGGTGACCACATGCTGGCTCTGCTTTGCATTTCTGTATCTGAGTTTGTATTTTAATATTCATTAGGTATTTGTACTGACAGCCCATCAATACATTAAATTAGTATATACACAGCTAACAAGTATGGTACATGCCTAACTGACTTATAACAACATTAAAACAGAACAGATTGTCTCAGCAGGGTTTAATAAACTGTACTTATCCAGTGTCCCTGTGAAAAACAGGCATGCAGCTGCAACGTACGGCGCTCCCTTGGAATCAGAACACCAACATGAAATGTACTAAACTGAATGTGACTTGTCTTTCTGATCAGAGAACTGAACTTTCTTCTGTCTTTGAAAAAGTGTTTAGTCCTCCATTCTTTTGAGACAGAAGGCATTCATTGTAAAGCAGCAGGCATTCTAGTTGAAAAATATTTAGAGAACATCAAGTAGCATTGGAGCTGGTAAAATGCATGCATGGTTATGCTTTACTAATTCTCATGAAATGCTTTGAAGGTATTGTGATCTCTGCAAGTAATTAGTGTCGTAATTAAAATATCACTTTTTTCTGCTAATTAAGATTAACGTGACTAAAAGGGGAAGTTTTTCGGATAAGAGGTATTATTTCTTCTCAATATGAGTGAGAAAGCTCCTCTAAAGCAGGCAGAAAATTTATGTCAAATTAAAAGAGAGCTTCTTGGTTTGTTTTTCTTACTATGGTTGACCCTCAGCCAGAAATTTCCTGGGGAGATTTCCTGTTTGGAATCATCTTGGAGAGAGCACATACTGCTTCTTGCATTATAAGAATAGGTAGGGTAGAATCTGTGTATTAATTTTATATCCTGTTTCTCTGTAGTCAAAAATTGACTGATTAAAAACTGTACAAAAATTCTAGAATAGACATCAGACACTTAAAAACCATGAGTGAAAAGAGTAGATAAATACTTTATTTCAAAACCTTTTTCATCTGTGTCCTCTCATGAATTTGGCTGATGAGAGTAATTCTTTAACATCAGTGGAGTTAATAAGAAGTTTCTTACCCTGTATTAAAGCATCAGAAGTGCTCAGTTTAAACCACAGTGGCCCCTCTCTGGATGCTTCATTGTATCAGGCTTGGGGCCCAAGCATGGGTGATGAGGCTGTTCTGCCAGGGTGTGCTCAGGGAGAGTTCTGCAAAAATTATAGGGCTTCAGACAGTCTCCTAAACAGCATTTGCTGTTCACGTGGCTTTTGATTCCCCAACAGTTAACTTGAAAGCACTAAAAAACACAATGAACAAGCAGGGAGGTCAGAAGGAAATCCAGGGTTAATCTACCTACCCACATGAGAACAAACATGGAGCATCTGATCATGGTCCTGGTAGCAACAGTCTCTAGGCACCAAGGTCCTACTGTAGTAATGCTGCCCACATTCTTCACAAGAGCACGCCATTTCTGTGGCAGTCAGAAGATTCCTTAGGAAAGTGTTTAAGCAGCCTTCTGAAAATAATGATTATTAATTTCTCATTCCTTTTTTTTCCACTTGATCTGTCTCTTTACAGTGGTAAGATGTTGACTTATCCATTATTTAAAACGTTCAAACTTGTTTAACTTATCCCTTCTGTTAATGAACAGCATAAAATGTCTGAGAAGTTCCTGTAGGATACAATAGCAGTACCTTGCAAATGACAGAAACCTGTTTAACATCAGATTTTTCCTATTTTCATAATGAGAAAAAGTGGCAAAGCCACCTGAGCTGTCTTTTCCTGGGTAATGCTATTGTGAACAGTGTGAGATATCTCTGGTAATGGAGTGAAGAGACACTTGACTTGGCAATGGATTCTCTGACATTGGCCAGGCTCTATAATCTAGAAAATCAGGGGCCTTCCATTCCAGTTACCTCTGTTTATAGCTCTGTAGGGAGAGATGATCTCTATAACTAACTGAAGAGAGGTTGTAGTGAGCTGGGGGTCAGCCTCTTCTCTTGTGTAATTAGTGATAGGACTAGAGGGAATGGCCTCAAGTTGCACCAGGTGAGATTTAGGCTGGCTGTTAGGAAATATTGCTTCTCTGAAAGAGTGGTATGGTGGAAATGCTAAGTCATTGCCTGAACCAGTGATTGAGCCCCTGGTGGGAAGGCAGAGCCAACCCAGGGGAGCTCAGCTGCATGCAATGTACCTGAGTGAGCAGAAGGGATGGAGCCAGGATCCACCTGTTCCCAGATCTCATTTAAGTGTTGGCAGTGGAGGTGAAGGCATCTCTTGCCAGAGATCTCTGTCTACTTGAGGCCTTATGAAGGTGAACAGCTCTTTTCCTCCATTCCTGCATCTGTGGCTGCTGCGTTTGAGCTCATTCTCATTTGCTGTAGCCAAAGACTTTGCCACCTAGCTATTATCATTCCATTATTGCATTACAAGTGGTCAGGCACTGGAATGGGCTGCCCAGGGAGATGGTGAAGTTACTGACCCTGGAGGTGTTCAAGGAGCTTTTAGATGTAGGGTTGATTATATGATTCTGATGAAAAGAGGTCCTCAGTGGTACCTTTTTCTCCATAAATTTGTTCCCCTATCACCCTGGACCATTTATTTTTCCTAGACTGCATGTATCCTTGCTGATCATATGTAATAAGAGGCCCCAAAAGGAAACAGCTATCTTCTTAGTGTTAGCTGTATGTTTTCACTTGTAACTTTTTCCCTACTTGAGATGATAAAAGCATCCTGGGTGGTTTACAGTGACCATTACCTTCATGAACCTTTAAGAGTGTCCCAATTTTTTCTCCCTGTGCTTTTCCTTATGGACAGCCCACAAATCTGGAGGCAGTCAGCCCCTAAAAGGCCAAGCTGAGCACCTGGCAGTAATTTTCTTTCTTATAATCAAGTTCTCACAGACCAACCTCCATAAAAGCTGCACACCTCTGGGAGTGCTGTTGCTTTTATTTCATTAGGAGAGAGGCTTCATTTCTGATGTATCATAATGCAACCCCAGAAAGTAAAGTGGATGAAGAGAAGGTTGTTTTTTTATTTTATTATTTACAGATGCTAGGTTGTAAAGCTTAGCTGTAACATCCTGGAAGTGAGGTGTGTAAGTGCAGAAGATATTTGCCACAGAGCTGTTGAAGTCTGAGAGCTGAACAAAGCCAAGGTACATTGCAAGCACCTCTGGTTTGTGGTGTCTGCAGGAGTTCACACTTGCATGCAAATGTGGTTCTCCGAATTTCTGGCATTAAGAGAAGGCCATTTGCTGCTAGAACATGCCTTAATCCATGTTATGCCATACTTAGCCAGTAATCATAGAATGGCTTGGGTTGAAAAGGACCACAGTGATCATCTAGTTTCCACCCCCTTGTCATGTGCAGGGTCGCCAACCACCAGACCAGGCTGCCCAGAGCCACATCCAGCCAGGCTTTGAATGCCTCCGGGGATGGGGCATCCACAACCTCCTTGGGCAACCTGCTCCAGTGCGTTACCAGCCTAGGAAATTTGGTTACTCTCTCATCTCAGCTGTCAGGCAACTATTGTGAGATTGGATTCATGTACTGGTAGCACGCTAAGGCTTCTCACACTTTCCTCTTTCTTTTCATTGTTTTCTTCTACACCAGCTGGGTAAAACCCTTGAGTTGGGCGGTGCTCCCTGGAGCTGCCCCTGACCTCTATTTCAGTTTTTGTGCTTTACAGAGGTCTGGACTCTCTCCTAAAGGTGGAAAATGCTCTCTCCTTGATGATAACAGGTAGTAATAAAGTTCATGTGGTAGGGGAAGTAGTGTGGAGGCGCTACTCTTTTGGGCAGTTTTGAAGCTGTCCCCACCTGTGTTCTGGTAAAGCTGGTATATTGCTACAGAGAAGGCATTTTCTGGAGGGGAGGTTTTCACTTCCAGTGTTGGTTTTTATCCAGCTTCTACAGAAATGATTTTCTTTTTTTTTTAAATTATTTTATATCCCCAGACTTATTTTCTCGCTTTCGTTCTTTGGTCTTTAGAATTCAAGATGCATTTTGCTGTAGTCTTGCATTGCTCCCAGTACTGCTTTTAGAAACTGATAGTATCAGAGACCCGAGTGTACCATCGCGGTTAATTTGCTCTTTTACTGACAGCTTTGGTGTTAGTCTTTTCTGACATAAGCGTACTGTATATTTTGTTCTTACTCAATTTTTCCATTGAGCTTTAATACACGAGCTGGGAGGAAGAGCTATATCATGCTATTTAAACAAACGGGGCTTTAGGACTGCCATGTGTTACTCTGGCAAGCTATAATCACCCCAACTGTGCCTCAGAACCTGTCTGATTGGAACTGGGGAGTTCAGTAATGAATCTTGAATTTGCTTTATCTTTGAATGAGTTCAGATGCTTTGTTAGATACCAGTTCTGTTCTCCCTCCCTTTCCCCTTTATATCTCCTCCTATTTTAATGTCAGAATGAATTGATCCCAGGCTACTCCTCTGTTTTCTGACACTCCTGAATATGGAAGTGTCACTGTAAAATGAACCATAGCAAATTCTTAATAAGCTACCTTCAGAGAGAGTTATAGTTTTTGACATTTAGTTATGGATTTATCCCTTATGCAGGAAGCCTCATTCATTTCATGCATGCTAACCATAGTGAGAAAAAGTTATTAAGTATTTTTCATACTTTGGTCTATTGAACAGCCACATCACACGCACTGCCAGTCTCCAGCAGCTTGCAGGAGGTTAGTGAGAGCAGGAAATGGAAGGAAGGATGGAAGAAATGAAGACTCGTTGTATGTAAGCTACAGTACCACACTCCTTACAAAGGCTAGTAGGTTTAGGGCTCTTATTCCATCATTTCAGGTTAGAATTCCTGTTTCATATGTAGAAAGTCATCTTCAGTTATCCAGGCTTTTTTGGTCAGGTCTCTGCTCTGAATCCCATGAAGCAGATACTTTTGCCAGTAATTAATAATTATTGCATAAATTTTAAGTTAATTTATATAGTTTTATATTGCATGTGTTACTATTATGATAATTAAAAAAAAGATGGTGACCACTATAAAGTGTACCACTTCAAATAGCAAATACTTTTCATTCTTACAAAGTACCTATTTAGAATACCTAAACTATAAACAAAATAAATTCATCGAGTGAATCTCACTTTTAATAGAAACGTGAAGTGTTCAAGTTCTGCTTATAAAAAGAACAGCATTCTCATTTCTTAAAAAGTATGTAGGGGCCTGGAAATAATAACACTGTTCACTTGTACTATTTTTGAAGTGGTCCTAGGTGTAATAATTTTAATTCAACACAACGCTATAGATCTGACAAAAAATATATATATAATTTTGTTCCTTTTGTTGTATGTAACAGTTACTATGTCACTGTAAGGAACACCCATCTTTAGGGGGAAATAGATGCTCCTTGTCCAACAGGAGCAGACAGGAAAAAACTGTGGGTATTTTCTTCCAGTAGGCAGCTTACAAGTGTCCAGAAGGCATGCTGCCAGCCTGATGTTAACTGTTCCCACTTTTTGCTTCTAGTAGAAAGCAAATCTCACTCCAAAAACTGTCAAGTCTTCAGTTGAGCTTAATTAGTATGATTGAAGTAATGACAGTGACTTCAGGTAGTAATATTTTTTTTTGCCAGATACAGAGGCTTTTTATAGTGGCGTGAACAAGTTTTTCTCTAAAAATATAATGTTTTGGTCTGCTTTTTCAGCATGAGGTATAGCAGGGTATTTGCAGAAGTGGTGTTGATTGTTATATAAGACAATGTGTGTGTGAGATTAAAAAGAAAGAAGTTAAAAATGATGGAGAGATGCAAAATGCACCAAAGTCGCTTATTCCCTTCCTGGAATTTAATGGACACTGGTTTAGCCTCCCCATCATCTACCAGTTGGTCTGCTGAAGTTTTTTTTCCCTTTAGAGCAGAAATACAGATGGGTTCCCTGGGTGGTTGGACATACTGAAATGTTCCAGAATTGGAGCTTTTAACCATAAAAGTTAAGTTGAAGTGCTCCTCATCTCTCTAGATGAAGGCACCATGCTTAAGTGTGAGGTTGAGTAGAGCTTTAAAAATGAAAAAAACCTTCTAGTTTCAAAAGTAGGCTGCTGCAGGAGATGAAAGGGCTAAGGAAAAAGAAATTATGAAATGCTTATCTACCTGATAAAAGAGATTGAATCTGTGAAGAGTCTCTCTGTACTGCAGGTAAATGTAAGTTTGTTAATACTGAAAAAGATTTAAAAAGTACTGTCATTGGATTTTGAATGAGTATTGTCATCAAAATCAGATCACATTTTCTAATGCTACTTTCTAGAGTGTTTTCAGTTACCTACCGTGAATTCCTCATTCGATCCTGTGTTATTGTTATGCAATCATATGAAACAAATTGGAGTAGTTACAGCAATTTCTAGATAGACACTAATTTTACTGATTTCATGGGAAGCTCAATCCAATTCCAATTAAAACGAGTTGCTGGGTATTTATCAGCTTCAGCTGGAGCAGCTTCTTACAAAATATGATACCAATCTATATTGTGTGTATTAATTGTACCCCAGGTTAGGCTGTTAAATGAACAAGATGCTCTTAAAATAATGTTTGTGCCATACCTGACAGGTATGGAGGTCAAGCAGAACTTAAATAAGCGTAAGGGAAAATTCTGTGATCTGTGCTGCAGACAGACATTGAAGTTGTTTGGAGATTTGACACAAAAAGAGACATCTCAGTGAAGAAGGTGGGAATCTTTGAAGAGATCAAATAGCCATTAAAAATTCAATTTATTCGAGTATATCCTGATTTTAATTCTATAGACACAGGGTTACAATAGCGTTACACTTCACCTGGGAATGAGTATCCCCAGTATGCATATGCATTTTGCCCCAATCAAAATAGTTGTTTTGCCAAAAAAAAAGTGCTTTTATTAAATAATTTTAGTTAATGCTGTTCCTCAATTGTACTTAGCCTTTTAGTAAAACTGAAGGCATTTGTACATGTATTAAGTGCCACTGAGTGTCTTTGGGTACCTTATTATCATCTAAGGTATAGAACGACCAATAAAAGCCATTTTCAAGTGACAAATCATAACCAGGAGGCATGTTCTACCAAGTCTTTGGATGCATTGAAAATTCATTCTTCATATTCTAGCGGTTGGCAACCCTGCCTCTGGCAGGGGGGTTGGATCTGTATGATCTTTGAGGTCCCTTCTGAACCAAAACATTCTATGATCATGCTTGATTTTTATTTCAGCTTTTTTTAGTAAGTGCTTTATCAAATGCATTAAAGAAGCAGCATGTTTCCAGCAGTGGAAGTTTGGTGTTGACTGCATTTCTTTGCTGTGCCAGTCTGAGCAGACTGATGTCTTTCTCTCCGCTGCTGAAAGTTTGATTATTCCATAGGTAGCTACCTTGTTCTGGTTAGTCTCGTATTCTGCCACATGACCGCTGGAAGCAGAAGGCACTAATTAAATAAGTATACTAAATATTTTTTCATTCATTTATTCTCTGTCCAGCCTCATTGAGTATTCTCTTCTAGCCAGAGGATAGATAGAGGAAGATAGACCCTGTTCTTTCATCAATTTGCAGGGGTTTAGGCTACCATTAGGACTACTACAGTTGTATGTGGGTGATTTTTCTTAATTCTTCCTGCTTTCTAAAGTTGAAATCCACTCCTTCAGCATATACTCTCCTGTTCATAAAGACAGCAAAGGAAACCAATGTTTAATCCTGCTTTAGTCCCACTGTGTTTCAGAATATTAAAATTTCAGCTTAATAAAATGTTCAAATTCCTTAAGACAGTAGATCAAACCAAAGGTCATTTTACCCTGTTGCCAGTCAGCAATTTACTGAGTGAATGAAAATCTGGCCACTAGTGGACTGTAGCCACGCTATTTCTATGCTGACTGATGCTCCATGGGTTTGCAGTGTGTTTTAGTGGGAAGAAAGCGGGCTGCAGACAGCAACAGATGTCCCATTTCCCCCACTGCCTTTTGTCAGCTCAAAAAAATGAGAAGGCAGTGTTTCCCTTAACTTGTGGGTGCTTTCTTTCTGCCTCGCTTCTATGCATAGGGCAGCTCCTTGTGTTTTAAGTCTCTAGGGTGTTAGAAGGAGAAAGTAGGTGATATATCTATCAAGACTTCAGAACTCAGGGCTCCATGCATTGTGTAAAGTACAGTTCTGAAAATTGTATAATTTATCAGGCAGACGTAATTCCATCAAGGGGTTCTGGAGATGCTGCAAACCACATCATTCAATTATAGCTTGGAAATTCAGTTACTGTGCCTGCAGGAGTAAATACTGCTCTTATGTCCTATAGTGTGATTCTGCAAACCTTATTTGGATGGCAGTAGAACTGCCCTCTTCCCTGTGAGCACCGTTGCTGAGGTTTGTGCTGTATGTGTTGGTGGAGTACAAGCTGTATTAAAAACGTTACCAGAGATGCAGTAAAAGGAACTGAATTATAGAATTGCTTAGGTTGGAAGGGACCTTGAAGATCATCAATTTCCAACCCTCCTGCTAGCCACCCACCAGCCCAGGCTGCCCAGGGTCCTGTCCAACCTTGCCCTGAGTGCCTCCAGGGAGGGGGCATCCACAGCTTCTCTGGGCAGCCTGTGCCTGGGACTCAGCACTTCAAGTGAAGAATTTCCTTCTAGCTTCTAAGCTAAATTTCTCCTTTTTTGATTTAAAGCCATTCCCCTTGTCCTGTCGCTATCAGACCATGCAAAAAGTTGATTTTTCCTCCTGATTGTAATCTCTGTTCAAGTACTTGAGGTCTCTCTTAAGCCTTTTTTTTCTCCATGTTAAACAAGCCCACCTCCCTCAACCTTACTGCATAGGACAAGAGCTCCAGTCCTCTCATCACCCTTGTGGCCCTCCTCTGGACCAGCTCCAGCAGCTCTACATCTTTCTTTTACTGGGGGCCTCAGCGCTGGATGCAATACTCCAGATGGGGACTTACAAGGGCAGAGTAGAGGGGAACAATCCACTCCCTCACCCTGCTGGCTAACCCTCTTTTGGTGCAACCCATGATACAGTTACCTTTCTGGCATGCAAGTGCACACAATGAAGTGCAATTTTTTCCTTATGAGTTTTTTACTTAAATTCCACAAGTTTGGTATACAGTTAGATACAATACTAGCAATATGGCCCGAGAAGCAGGATGGTTAATTAGATACTGTTTGCTGCCTTTAGTACAGAATACACAGAGATTGACTAGTTTAAGTAAATATTTGGGTTTGATTAGGCTGTGCTTATTCTAACAGCGAGAGATGGTTGTAATAGAGAAGACGATACAGGTTGAGTTTTGTTTCAGTCTAGAGGATTTTTCATAATAGAAATGAAAGATTTTTGAATTATCAAAAAAAAAGCAACTTCTCTATAGGTGATGAAGCATTTGTTCTTAGACACATGTTTTTTAGTGTACAGTTAAGAGTTTTGCTGGATTTGCTGTTAATATGCTTTTCTTAATGAAAATATTTTTGATGCTCTTACAGCCAACTTCTAAACTCCTGAAATGTATAAACATTTTCCGAAGTACTCACTTGGTGTTAGAGCTGTACTTAAACTTCAGAGTGTATCAGACTTTATTATGATTACATGCATTGACAAATGTCATTAACCCTGTAAAAATATTTATTTTGTTTAATTTAAATAACTGACATATGTCTATCCAGTCTGAAATGACACTGCTTCTGGCTTTCTGCTATTAAAGTTCTTTCAATATGGTTCCAATCCTGTCAGTCCTGACACCTGAACTGGGAGCAGTTTAATTGGGTTTTGCAATGTGTTCGCCTTCAGGTGAAATGCCTTCACTCTAGCCAGGTTGGTGAAGGTCCTTTAGATATTGCCTTAAGATCTGAACATAGGTTTTGACCAAATTTTTCTCCGTTTCTTAAGGCAGTCTCACTTCATAAAACCCCTCCCATTCTCTTTTTATGGACAATCCAGAGTATTTTCATGTGTATTCCAATGCAGAAAAAGAAAAGCAAAATGCACTGAGCAATCAACTGGCAATAACTTGCAGTGCAGCTGTTAGCCCTCCTGTCACCCGCAGCTTTCTTATGCTGTCCCTGTCTTTTGCTACTTAAGTAACATGGAGGGGGGGGTTGTTTCTTCTAACTGGTTTTTGTGTAGCTTTTTATTATGTATTGAATTGTTTGAAGACAACTTTATTTTTTTCCCCCAGGTTCTTCATATTTATACTGAAAACATCTGAGGTGACAAACTGAGAACATTTGTAACTACAGGCAGATTTAACAATGAAATTAAACACTAATGGGTGCACACTAACCATGGGTGGCCTATTGCCGTTCAGAGCCATCCAGAGACCCACACGCCTGCAGTGAATCTTTGCACTGCCTCTGGGCATCATCTGGGTAGAGAAGATGAGATGACAAAATGGGGGCTCTGTTTGCTGGAAGCAAAATTGTAACAGAGCAAAAAACTTGCTTCATTTCACCTTCCTCCTTCCATCAAATGCATTAAAAGACATTTGAGGACTTTATGGGGCTCCAAATCAGATCTTTTGGCGGAGAGACTGCTGCTTATGAAAAGCTGTTCTGATTGCTAAATACCCTGTTAAAATGCGAAACTCCTCCCAAACAAAAGATTTAATAAAAGATCATTTTTCTTTTACTGCATTTTTTACAATCACTGCAGTATATGGTATCCTCAGTGGTTTTATAGTCCCCTTGCCGTTGCCTTGAGTTTACTGGATGTAGTAATATTTATAGAGAGTACAGACATCATGCCCTGAACAGTCTTCCAGCCAGCACCAAGTATGATTCACAGGATGTTTGGAGTTTTTTTTTGTCATGAAATTGGCCAGTAAAACAGAAGTTACTTTGTTTATTATTGACAATTTTTCCCACTCTGAAACATTCTGGTCAGCCTTCTTTGTTTCACTGAAATTTCTGTGTAAAGGATTTTTGCTTATTGTTATTACATGCATGTCTCCTGGCACTTTGAAATAGTTTCTGGCTTATTTTTCCTGTTTCCAGGATTGGGCTCTTATAGCGAGCGTTGCTCATTCACCCCATCTTACCGTGGAAAAAAGCTGCTGCAATGACCCAGCAGTGGCACATCCAGGTCTTCACTCACCTTATTGCCCTTTGTGAAACGTATAGTCTCTTGCACTGCAGGAAAACCTGTTGATTGCAGCCATCTTCGCTTCTGCTTGGTTTACTTCTTTATGCGATCATCACTTTGGGCCTACAGGGAAATGGGAAATGTTTGTCCTTATGCACTGCTCCTGGAGAAAAGGGCTTTCTCCAAAGCACTTCAGATGTATTCATGTGGAGAAAATGGATGAAGCTCTTGTCATCCTTTCCATATCAAGCATCCCACTAGCACTGTCAAAACCTCGTTATAAATGAAGCTGTCTCCCACAGAGGACGTTTTTATAACCACAGGAGCTCATGGTCATATTGCAGAGCTTCTTCTGGAAAGGACAGTGTTTCTTGCACAGAGCTATATTTTCCTTTTCTACAATGAAAGCAGGAGTAAAGCACATCCAAGGCTCATATTTACTTTTTCTTGGATGCATGGCAACTCTTTAAAATACAGGCAGAATAGGTAAATTATATAATGAGATGGGAAGTGCAATTTCCAAACAGCAGATACATTGCAAACAAGATTGATTCATGAGCATTAGCAAAATGCTTTGACCATCTTTTCATATTGTTACTGTTCTTGCAGTGGCTGAGAACCTTTTATTGCATTCATTTCCCTTATTAGCAATATAACCAAGGCTGTTTTTCAGAGTAGTTGCAGTATGTATCATAGCCATTGTTCTGACAGTAAATAGTTTAGTGAGGTGTGGTGGTTTATTCCAGCACTGACTGCTCTTCTATTAGATCTCTGAAAATTGACTTTAAATTGTCATTGCTGCATCTAGTGTTTATAGCTTCAGAAATTTTTGAATCAATGGTATTCACATTTCTAATAGCAATATTTTCTTGCTTCCTTAGTTGCCAGCTGTGCCAGTTCAGTGCTAACTTAGCATTACAGTTCATCATTTTTCTCCAAGCTACACGTTGCCTTGAGCAGCTCGGTGCACTCTCCTTGCTTTTGGGTGTATAATGGGCCCCTTCATTCAGGCTGTTACAATCCACTTTAGGCTAAATAATGGCACATGTAAAGATTATTTCTCAGAAGTGTGAGCACTGTGTTCTTACTTCACTTGGTCCTCTATGAAGTGGAATAAACTGCGAGGAAATGAAACCATCGTCTCTGTGGCTTGGTTTTGCAGTTTGCCTTACTTCAAATTAACCTTCTAGTGTAGAAATTGTGAAATTGTTCAGATAATTTCAGGAGAGGGAAGCAGGCAAGAGGAGTAGATGAAATATGCTGACAATATGACAATTTTTTTTTCTCTTTCAGAGATTCAGCCACAGAATAAATCAACACAATATTGTCAAATACTGTGCTCAAACAAATTAATGAAAGTATGTCAATAACAATTTTTTCTTTTCAGAAATAATTTTGTCCTTAGAAAATGAAAATGCTTAAATGCTAAAATCTGAAACATGGCTTCTACCCTAGGCTAGATGAAATATTTTGCCAGAAGTGAAATTAGTTTTTTTGGCCCCTACAATTTATTATTTGAAGAGTCCTAAGGAGAAATAATGAGAATTTAAACATGTAAGTTGGTTACTACTGAGCAAGCAAAAAAAGGAGGTGTTGCTTCTTCATGCAGCACCAGTGAGATATTTTTTAAAATGGCCATTAGTATTAAGTTCATAAAAATTCAGAGCTGTAAAGGCAGCCTGGGATCTGAGAAACAGGACTTGGGGAAGATGTTAGAAGCTTAAGATATCTGGTTTATCAAAACAGTGAAAAGGTGATCAGTTGGATGTGATTTTAGCTTGATTATGTGGGAAGAAAACTTTGGTAACAGCATACTCTAGCCTGGACTAGAAAAGCATAACAAAATCTAACAGTTGGGCATTGAAGCCAAATGAGCTCAGTCATCAATTAAAGCTTATGAGGTGAGACTTTTTCATGGTTTTTTTTTTAGTTTTTGTTGTTGTTGTTGTTGTTGTTGTTGTTGTGGGTTTTTTTGTTTGTTTGTTTGTTTGTTTGTTTGTTTTTGGAACAGAAGAAATAAAGTTTTGGGACAACTCCACAGGGAATAGGGGATTTTTCTATTAGTTGGAGTTCTTTAATCTTACCTTTCTGAAAGATGCTTATTTCTAGCACCAGAAGGGCTTTGGGATGAATTGTTTTACCCACTCTTTTTTCTTCAGAGGCCTTTCAGTGGTAATCATCATTTCTAACTTCACTAGCCCTGAAATTTGATGGGTATATTGCTTTCTACAGTCAGCGTTATGTGTCGTCAAAATGCAGATTCTTACTTTAAAAAAAAAAAAAAAGTCCAGGCTTGATTTTCTGTCAAAGACTGGCCAGGCTCCAGAATGACCTGCCCAGGGAAGTGGTGGAGTCGCTGTCCCTGGCAGTATTCAAGAGGTGTTTGGATGAGGAGCTACGAGATAAGGTTAGTAGCTTAGTGGGTAGTAATGATGACAGGAGGACGGTTGGACTAAATGATTCTGTAGGTCCTTTCCAACCTTGTGATTCTATGATAATTAAAGAGACTGTCTTCTCAGTTTTGGAGATACTTGGTTTTAGTTATTCCAGTTCAGAAAGAAAGAAATTTACATCAACATTGGTACAAAAATAATTTTAATTTCCAAGATTTGAGTCTAGATTTTAGAACTGCTAGTCGATTTCTGGAGTGTCTGTTATACAAAGTTCTTTTTCAGAACTGCTTTCCATAATGGTATTTATGGATTGAGACAGGAGAGTAGATGTAGCCTATTGGTTATTCATTGTATTTGAATGAGGATGCAGAAACTCTGAAAGGAATTACATTTTTTGTAGAGAAAATGTATTTTTCCTGGCAGCTCAGAATTAAAGATGTGTTTGTACTTTGCATTATTTTGCCTTCTCTTCACAGAAGTTGCAAATCAGGCTCTCTTATATGGAAGTGCAGGGTGGCTGTTCTCTGGTTTAAAAAAATAATAAAATAAAATAAAAAGAAAGCTGAATCTGTATTGCTTGGCTATTACTTTTGTATCTTTAACAAGGAACAGCTTTTCCCTTACTGATGATAATGTTCAGAAATATTGTACCTATCTCTAGAAAAAAATTCTTGAGATAAAGGTATGACTGCAAGTGCATGAATTTTTGTTCCTGGGAACTGAAACTCTGAACAGTTCAACTTGAACAAAAATGGTAGTTGCAAGTATGAGCTGTCCTATTTTAAATGTTCCATAAGCCACCATAGTAAAAAAAAAATATTAATTTCAAATTATCAAAAACTGAAACGAGCTGCCTCTCAGAAAGGAGTAATTTTTTATGCAAAGCTGAGTGCTGAAAATAGAATGTGTAGTTTTTGTTGTACAAGTGCAGCACCGTGTTTTCATGCTTTATTTTGAAAGCTGAGCTTGCATAGCTCAAAATTTGATTCATATTTGAGTGTCATTTTTCCACACAAAGTAGATCAGCTAACGGCAGTACCTGAATTAATGGAGGCTTATGGATTTGTACCATTTGTATCATTTTTTCCATGAGCAGTAAAACCTGCCTTTATCATCATGTTTGACGCTGCATAGTGTAAGATCATAATGTTTACAGTGTGCCTTGATATTTGTACAGAGTAATTAGATTAAATATCTATGTTGTACTATACATTGCTTTTACCAAAAAGAATCTTGAAAATATATTGAGCAGGTTAACTAATCTTTTTTTTTTTTTTTTAATTAAGAGAGTTGCAACTACTTTCCCAATGAAGTGCTTAGGATGAGAAATAAATCTTATGATTTTTCTGGGTCTAGAATGAATCTTTGGTGGGTTTTTTTGCCTTTCTGTCAGTGAAGGAACCTTGAACCTTTCAGGTGCAACTACTGATCAGAACTGCCTACCATGTGAAGACTTAAGTTTAAGGCTTACACGAATCTTCCATTCTGTGTCCTCTGTGTGTCACATGAGACCTCACCCTTGGACATAGCCTCAAGTCTCAGAGTCATCCCGATGTTCTCCAGGTCTTGTCTTGCTTTCAGAAGAAACATGCTTTTGTGTGAGTCTGAAAAGGACAGGTTCTCTATTCTTCTGTAAAAGAGTACCTCTATTAGGGAGTTTGAGTGCATACAACATTGCGGGTAAAAATGAAGCAGAGAAGTTACTTTAATGTTTCCATTAGGATATGAGCTGTGTGAAATAGTGCTGTCTTCAGAATCATTACTGACTATTCTATAGGTCTCCTGGACCAGAGCCACTCAACACTGGAAGAATATTAGGGTGTCCTTAATGAATTTCCAAACATCCAAAGTGACTACTTAGTTTTAAGTTATGTGATTTCAGCTGATTTTTTTTTTCAGATTTAACATTGAGATCAGTTACCAAATGATAGTGCACTACAATACTCCGTGTTAGCAAAAGGCATATTTACTTGCATCAAGGAGAGCACGATTTTTTTTAACTTCTTACCTTTGCTATTTTGCTGGAGGCAAGAAGAAAGAAAAAATCACAGAAGGAAAAGGTTATTTGCCAGTGTCTTCTTTGCAGCACTCTTCTGTGGAGTAGACATCCGCAAGAACTCCATCATCTTGAGCTTTACCTTGGAGACCTCAGCAACAGGAGGATCGCAGGGGATGAGAGCAGGGACAACTGCAGCTGGTAACACAGACCCTGCTGCCAAGCAGAGCTGTGACACTATGGCTGAGTGCAAAGAGGAGGGAGCTTTGTGCTCCAGGGCACTCCCTCGGCTGCGAGCTGAGGCACCAAATCTCAAAAGGGCTCAGGTAGTGCTGCCTCCCTGGGGACACACAGCTCTTTTTTGGCTCAGCTGCCATTTCCTAGAATTACCTCAAGGAATAGAAGACATAAGACACTTTATCCACCCCTGCAAGTTTGTCTGTTTTGTGTGCAGAGAGAGTGATGCCTGCCATGGCAAATGGCACTTACGTATGCGTATATATGTATATATATATATATATATAATATATATATATACACACACACACATTTATAGGCTGCACAAAATATCCACTGCTATTGATTTACTTGAATGAATACCATGAGATATTTAACTCCATGGCAGGGGAGCTCTACAAAATGAACCTGCAATCCTTGGGGGAAAAAAAAAAAAAAAGGTCTTTCACTGTCTAATACAGCTCTGAAATGCAGTAAATACAAGTTGTGAGAGGTTAGAAGTTCAATGCAGTACACAAACACAGACCCATTTAAAGTACCTCCTCTATTTGATCAGTGCTGTCCTGTGGAAAAAAATACCTTCTCATTAGAGGACAAAGCTGCTCTGTAATTAAGATAATGATTTTTCTTTCTATAGTTGCTTTTTATCTTATTTTCTAGTTAGGTTTTTTCCTTTCAGCTATTAAGTTTTTGAAATTAAATGTGTTAGGAAATCTCTTAGAAAGTACTAATAAGAAAAACTGAGCTGCTGCCTGCCAAAAATGAGTCAGCTGAGGGGTGCTTTGCTTAACTTAGCCCAGTGGAAACTGATAATCATCTAGTGAAACCCATTTGAAAGGCTGTGGCCTCCATTCCTAATGAAGCAGCTGTGCCTGAGACTTTTCCTGAACCAGCACCTTATCAGACTCAAACCATAAAGGCATTGAGGTAAGCAATGCATCTATCACTGCATCACTTTTATCTCTGCATGGTGAGCACTGTGCACTGGAGGAAAAAACTGAGAATATAAGTACAGGTTTTATATGGCTCTTCTTCCCTCCTGCCCTGCTTACCCAAGAGGGAGCTGAGACCTGTCTTGCATTTTCTGTGGATATAATGGTTTCGAGCCCGTGTTGTATGACCACTGCAAGATGCTGAGTGCCCCTCGAAAACCTTGCTCTTGCTACCCTGTCAGTCACTCCTCTAAACCACAGTAATCTAATTAAGGGCTCTTTGGAGCTTCTCAGATTTGATGGCTTTTGATGTGAGGTGGGTGCTCACACCCCATTTGTTGTTAAAAGCAATTTGCTGGGGCTGGGGGAGCAGTATGCAGGTTAAACAGCACTGCTGTATGTAAATACAAGAGGAAAAAAATATGTCTTTGCAGTATTGTGTATTACTACATGCTTTGTAACGATGATGGGATTTTCCCACCACCCTTTTCTGACACAGCTATGTGCAGGGCTGCTGGTCCTGGTGCCTACCCTGACATGTCATTTTATATCAAAGCAAGAGACAGCAGGGTAAGAAATGTTTGCCTTCCTTTTAAGAGCACCTGCAGTGAGAAAACATTGAGACATCTGCTCCTTGCAATCCATTTGCACCCCCTTGGATGTGCTAGCATTCCCCAAACCTGCTGGCATGCCACCCAAACCTTGCTGCGGTGTAGCAACATAAAAGATGGTGTTATATGTTATGAACATGCTAAGATACAGTCATCTGAAGGAAAATTTAATGAGGATTCAGTGATGGGAAGGGCTTGCCCTGGTAATTAGACATAGACTGGTTGTACCTTTGCTACCGCTGGTTATAGTGTGGCTGGGCACATCTATGCTCTATTCTCACAAAATCCAAAAATGCTGAGGCTATTTAACTGTTCTGAAAATGTTTCCTGCAGTTCTTAGTTTGGAAGAAAAGGTGTTGATGTTACAAACTGCATCTTTGTAGGAAAAGAAATGAAATTCATTACATATTGAAACCGCACAGCTAAGGAACCTGGTGCTGATTCTAAGTGCCTTTTCAATGCCTCTCCCAGGTACCTGTTTTTTAGCAGTGTCATAAAAGCCCTTGTCAGACAGTCATAATACACTTCAGAAAGAAGGCAGAGAGCCTGTAGGATCATCCTCTCTGCTGCTCTTGTCTACCTCCCCATGCTATCACCAGCTCCTCTCCAGGCAACGAGGTTGATCAGCTCAATGACCCCATCCCCCTCAGCTAAGACTGGAGACATTCCAGCAAGGCATGAAGAGTTGAGATCTCCTTGTCAAAGAGTTAGGCATTAAATGAGCTAACAGAGGGTAAACATAGTGTTCACATTGGCCTTTCACAGTGTGTATTTTAAGGGTGAACACTCTATTACAAGAGCTGGAAATGGTGCTGATGCAGTGGATCAGTGTGTCCAAGGAACATGGTGGTTTCTCTGTGCATTCTCTGGACGTAAGCCTTCAAGCAACTACGTAGAATTGAATCTGTCCTTTGCAAGTGGAACCTCCTTACCTCAGCATCAAAATGTGAGCGTATAAACAAGGTTGAAGCATCCTAGCAGCCACTGAAACATGATTACTTATCCAGAAAAGTATCTACCTAGCCCCAGCACTGTGCACAGGAGTGAGAGACAGTAATAGTGCCAAATGTGAAATGGGTTCGTGGACGATGAGAAAAAAACAACAGAGAAACCTGGAAATGTAGTGCACCTCCAACTCTAGTTTAAAATTAAATGCAAGCTTTGTCTTTTTTAACCTAAACACCTCATCTGCTTCTGAGTCTTTAAGTGGGATTTATTCTCTGTGTTATTTATTTGTAACTTGCTTTCTTTGTTAGAACTCTAAGCTTAATTTTTAGCTTTGAGCAGTTTTAAGTGAAAACTGGTTAAACTCAAAGCTTGTATTAAAAGTTTAAAAAAATCCATAGTGTATCATATTAAATATTAACTCAATTTGTAGACATTCAGTCTTAAGGAGCTCATCCATCAGGAAAATAGGTAAATGTGACTTCTCTCACAGGTGTGATCAGAAACCAACAGTCCTGTTGGTATTACTGCTCTAAAGAGATACGGTATAAGAAGAGCATTAGGTGATGCAAGTGCCTTTCTGCCTGCAGAAGCTTTCTGTACAGGCTGTCCTTCCCTTCTGCCTGGATGGGCACTAAACCAAAATATGCTGTGCACCCCCTTATGCTACCTGCATTGCTGTGTTGGCTTCTGTTTCCAGCAAGGGAGAAATCTTGGCTGCCCTATTCTGCAGCTGGATTCGCTTCCTCTGATCCTATTCATCTGCAACTGGGATTGTTCTCTAAAAGGACACTGGCAGCAATCACAGGTTCATCAGGCTGGTCTCACAGCATGGACGTGGCATTGTGCTCATCAAACTGCTCAGGCCAAGGAAAGCAGGTAGTTGCCAGGGGCAGAGGGTTTGCTCTGATGCCTGTTAGCAGTGCTCAGTAGTCTTTCTGGGTGGCTTAAAAGCCATTACTTGAGCAGGCAGCATTGGTGAGCTTTGCCTTTTTGCCTCCACCTGCTTCCTGTGCCAGAGAGGGAGATGGGTGGTGAGTGCAGGCTGTGCTCCAAGCACGGTGCAGCTGCAGGTAGTCTTCTCCAACAGGGAGATCCTGTGGTGAGTGTTTAATTCCTGTTTCTGGAAGAGCTGGCTGAAAAGCAATAATTCTGTTTTGATGGGGAAAAAAAAATAAGCCTATGCTTTGATATCTGATTTGACAGAGGCTTTGCAGTGCAGGCAGGCTCCTCTACCTGATTTTCACAAACCCTACAGCAGCTTCCTGAACACAGATGTACTCACTGGGACAGGAGTCTCTTATCTCTGTGTTCAGTGTGAGTTCTCTTCTCCACCAGATCATTCCTGTTACAGTGGAGATCTGGCCTGTTTACTTTGCGTTGGGCACATGGGGTAGAAGCTCAGTTTGCCCCTACTGTGACAAATGTATTTTTTATCTCTGAGAAATTTTGCCAGGGTTTCCAATTTGTGTTGATGTCCAACCAAAAAGACAGGTTAGAGAAGAATAAAAGGAAAATATTTTATTAACACAGTTTATAAATTTATAACTGAAATCAGAATAGGAACTAGCCTGAACAAAAAGCTCTTTGAAATCTGTTCAGGCCTAACGTAGCAGAAACTGTGGAAGGCTCTCAAGCACTATTATCTCACAAAACCAATCGCAGGCATATCTAAATGGTTCTGGACTCAGAAAAAGTCGGACTTGCTTTTTAACCAGCTCTCAGAGGTTAAATACATCTTTCTCATAAAGATATTTATTTACAGAACTCAGGCAAATCCATTTTCATTCTATGCAGGCTAGAAAATGTATTAAAAGGAAGTTTTAGCCAGATGCTTTTTGATTAACAAAAGCCTAATTGGAACTGTTTTATATAATTGATTGTAACTGCACGAATGTTAAAGGAATGTGATTGTGCGTTAAGAGCCCCTGCTCCTGGTTTCTGCCAAGCATGGGAAGCATGAATCTGAGGCTAGCTGGTTAAATAAGCTATTTATCCCCACCTGCAGCCGGTGTCCATGAGATGCACTGCAGCGTGTGTCCTTGGTCTCTGAGAGGTATCTCCTGGAGCTTGTTTCTAGCCATCTGCAGGGTCTGACCCCAAGCATGCAAAGAAATAGTGATTGGAGGCAATAGGCTGGGACTGCCTGGAGCTGGTAATCCAGGGCTGTGACCATGGGCAGCCAGGGCAGGCTGTGCTGCAGTGAGAGCCTTTTGATGCTGTCACTGATTTAGGGGCTGAGCAATAGAGCTGGCCATTTGTTTGCTCAGAAAGTCACAGCTAATGAACTTTCACAGCTTTAGCCTTTTCCACCTATCATGTAACCTACCAACCTGCTCTTCTACCTTCTTTTTTCCCCTTCTCTTAGGAAAACAAATATCCCCTGTGCAAAAGGCGATGGGGAGAAACCAGGCCAAGCTCACCCTGCTTGCACCCCTCACCTGAGGGGTTCTCTTGCCACACCTGCTTCATGGTCCTGCTTCTGCCTCCTCTGAAAGCAGAGTG